TGCGTGTCTTTGGGTGCGGCACACGCGTGATCACGGCAATTTTTGGTGTGTGTGTGTGTGTGTTTGTGTGAGAGAGAGAGAGAGTGTGTGTATGCCCGTGTGCGGTGTTTTCTGCGGAGGAGGAGTGAAGAGGCTGAATACAGTTTGGCAGTAAGACGGGAAGTTTGAAGGCGTTCGTGCGATACCTGTATGCGGAAGGCTTCTTCTTTAAATAGTACAACTACTAATGATGTTCTGTTTGTTTTTTATTATTACCATTTTGTATTAGCGAGTGAGGAATAATGACGCATTCCACAGACCTTCAGTGGCTGCTGGTTCGCCAGAACAGCAAGTACCTGCAGAAGCGCAACGGCATCCGCCTGAGCAGCGACCCCTTCAACAACAATGCGAACTGGACGAAGCGCCACTCTGGCCTGCTCAATGCGAAGGCGGCAGTTGTGAAGACGAAGGGTGACTGCATCATCGTGACGACGAAGAACGGCGACGCATGCAGCAAGCCCAAGTCGATGTACAAGAAGACGGTGATGGATGCCGGCGTGAAGGCGTCTGCTGTGAAGAAGGCCGTCGCTGCGGTGCGCCCCGACCTCGCCCATGTGGCGTTCCGCCGCGCGCGCAAGATGGCGTACACGGTGAACCGCATGAAGAAGGTTCAGGCCGCCCGCAAGGAGCGCTCGTCGAAGATCACATTCCAGCGCAAGGCTGTCCGTCCGAAGCGCCACTGAGAGTCTCCCGACGAGGGTTGGTGGGGATGTGACACTTGCGAAACGTGGTGCCATACTCATTCTAGTACGTTTGCTTTTCTTTTTGTGATTCTGTCCTCTGCTGTACTTGTATGCGTGGATTATTTTCTGTGCGTGGTTGAGGCTTCTTTCTACTACCGTATGGTTCTGGACTTCGCTCCCTGTTGTGCGTGTTCTTTTTGTTTTCTGTAATGGAGTTCCTGTGGCGTTTAAAGCAGAGCTTGAAATGATGCCCGTAACACTATGCAACGCGTTGTTTGAGGTGTTGGGCGTACCGGCGGGTTCGGTCTTGCGAGAGAACATTCTGCGGTCTGCTTCCGCCCTCCTGGGAAGCAGTGACATGGACGCCGTGATCCCTCCTGCCGATGGCATAGGGGAGGCTTCGGTGTCCGACTTGCTCATCCCGCTCAACGAGGAATTCAATGCGGCGGCGGATCAACTGGCGGCGCTGTGGATCGCAGCAAAATTTTGGGGTGTGTCGCTGCAGCGTGTCTCCTTGATGTCTTTAGTGACTGATATCATCTTTCAGTTGGAGGATTCTGACGAGTTGGATGCGCAGAGAGAGGCATCATACGATACAATGGAGATCGTTCACCGGCTTTGCAAGGCGGAAGTAGTCTTGCTGCGGCGTCACGGGTACATTGTACCTGGCGTGTCTTTGGGTGCGGCACACGCGTGATCACGGCAATTTTTGGTGTGTGTGTGTGTGTTTGTGTGAGAGAGAGAGA